ATAATACACGTTGAATATATCCTTAGAATGCTTGTATTCCAAAATGTTAAATTAAGCTATTTTAATGTACATACAAATGTAAATTCACAACACTTTCTATTATAAAAATGACTTTATCGGAGTTATCTCCCCTTATTTGGCAAAGTTGAAAAAAAATTTATCAAACACAAATAAGGTGTTTTTGAGAAATTATAGCAATAATTATGATAAAACATACAATTTTCTATAATTATATCAAAAGTCTTACACATAAATTGCATACTACTCTCAAAATTTGCACATTTAATCAAAGATCTAACCAACGTTATCTGCTACGTCATAATCCAAGATGGAGGAAGACACCCGAGCCACCTTAAGCAATAAACAATATTTCGTTAGGTCAAAATTTGATCTGGTACTGCATTTACGTTACGAAAAATTCAAAAGTTCATATAATGTCCTTTGAAATACATACACAATAATTACTTTCACCGATTTTGATATGCCCTATACATTTCCTCCAAAGAAAGTCGTTCATTTGTATAGGCTGATTTGTATACAACTGAATCACTTTTTTTTATTAACGAGCGAACTACTTTTTCAGCAGCCTTAATTTCCCTCAATGTGGAGCTCTGTGTCTTTATAGAAAAATTATCACATTTTATAAAAATCCAATGATTAATGTTTACAGACACAGCCCATACAACAAAATCATAGGTATCACATATTATGTAAAACCATGTTCAATTTTTAATGTAACTCTTTTAAGTTTTACATTAAGATTAGTGATGTTTCAAAATCAGATTTTAAGCATCAGAAATAAGAAAGCTTGCAATGTTAAATTTCAGAAAAGCTATCAAAGAAAAATAAATTCTATTTCAATTATATAATGACGATAACTCTTTATAAGTATCGTGCGTCCGAATCGCTTTTCCGGATTCATCTTCGTCAGGAACGCTGAAATACTTAAAAAGAAATTGAAAGCCAGGGATGTAAATATACGTAGAAGTTTTATGATATTAAAAGATTAGCCAAATTATTCTAAGGTCAACTTTGCCTAGGAAATTGGAACCTTGGTTGCGCTTAAATTCCCCAGAGAAGATTTTACGTACTAGAAGATGAACTTGTCTTTCAATCTAAAAGTTCTGAATGGCTTTATTGAAAAAAAACCATACATTATCCCATTGGAAACCTTTATTAATATTCGTTGTTTAAAAGCAAAAATCTATGAGATTAAACACGGTTTTAAGACCAAATATATAAAGTAATCTGCATTTTTTTATAATTGTAACGCAATGTTGCAGATTTCATATTTTACTTTCTGTCACAGATGTTTAAAATAATTTCAAATAAAGTTTTGTTTTTGTTACTTCGCTTAACGGACACTATTAAAGGATTGACCATAAAAGGATTAAAAGGAACCTTTTTAACACAGCCATTCATTATAAGAATAAGCATATGTGGTATTATTGCACAAGAGATAACTATCCATAAAGACCAAAACTCAAAGATGTAAACAAATATAGATCATCGTACGGCATTCAATAATGAGCGAAGGTCCATACTCTATGATAAGCTATAAAAGTACTAAGGTTGACAAATGTGAACAATTCAAAAAAGCAACCAGTGACATTTTTAAAACTTCAAATATACAAAAAAAAAATAAATATCGCCGACAGCAACCAAGCAACTGGTAACAAAATAATTCAATGACTATCTTTATAACTTTTATTGAAATATCAAACGTCGTTATAAACACAGTCAGAGCGAAAAAAGAGGCTCGGAATATAATAAAGGACATTACAAAGAAAACTAAAGACTGATTAGAAACATGAACCCAAATAAAATACCGGGTTGATATTAGGTGCTCCGTATGATTTAGCAGATCCTCGCCCACATGTGGCAACCCTCATGTTGCTCATAGTAAGTGCAGATTCGGCGATGATAATTATATTTTACTGATGTCAGAACTGAGACGAGGAAAATCTCATTAAAGATACCAGGCTGAAATTTTTTACGCCAGACGCGCGTTTCGTCTACAAAAGACGCGCTTTTCTGGATATACCTTTCATCAGGACCGATCAAACCCAAACATTTGAAAGCTAAGGATGTATAACACCTAAACATGTTAAGAGCTATATGACCAAAAGGGACCTAAAAATAGACAAATTCATCTACAGTCAACTTTGCATGAGGAAGTTGGAATCTTTGTTTCAAAATTTTATCAACGGGTTTTATTTATGACGCTCGAATCAAAAAAGTTATAAGGCCAAAATCAAGTACAAATGTAAGTTGAAGAGTTTTCAGGGTCTAAAATTCCGATAGATTTGGCCAAATACAACTAAAGTAATCTTTTTATGAGAGGTAGGGATTGTGGCAACGACAATGGGACATATATGTAGATATTTGTGGCGAATATGTTCTATAATGGTCAACCAACGTATGATTGCATCCGAAAAACTTCCAAAAGGACGACCTCAACATTACCATTAGGAACCCTTGGTTCAATGTCTTACTTAAAAGCAACAACCCTCTATCGAGGAAATCGTGATAGGAAACGCAAGCTCTTGAAATATTGTGTCATTCATAATAATAAAGATACAAGTCTGTTATCAAAGGAGAGTAATTGGTTCTCATTTCTTTTGCTAGAATCAACTCTTCCTAAATCTGTCGCTGAAATGGACTCAACAAATTATATTCAATTGTTTCCTTTGTGTCTAATTTCATTAAGTTTGAATTGGCTAATTTACTGATTTCTGTTCACTAATGTTATTAATTCAAAAACTTACCTTCAACTTTTGTAATTTTTATATGCCTTCACTGGGAATCGAACCCCCCAGAAGAAGTAGAGACTTGTCGATTTAGGTTCAAATCCCTGTTTTTTTCTTTGTTGTCCCTATTCTTTATTTTTTCCGTTTTTCTTATTTTGTATATTGTTTTGGATATTTTTGTTATAATAGTGGGGTTTCCCGTTTATACATAGATTATTATTGGCTATTTCAAAAACTTGTATTTGAAAAGAAAAGTTTTTCATTAAATTTGTCCATTTTTGTTTTATAAATATGGTAGGATTTTATCTGTTTTACTTCATATCTTTACAAATTTTTATCCGCTAATCCCGCGAGTAAATCGTGATGCGCCTAGAATTAGGTTTCTTGCTAGAAATTGCGGTAACATAATTATTATATATACTTAGAAATAAGTTCGAATATGTCTTATTGTGTAAATTACGGATAATATTCAGATGCATAATAATTTAAAGACAGACGTGGTATGTTTTATTTTTATTTCTCTAACCAATTAACTGTGAACTTTGATTTATTAATGCATCGTTGAACATGATAACATGTTTATTTAAACACTTACAATACCTTCTAATTAATAAAAGGGTTTAGTTTTGAAAAGAAAACAACACAATAGTTTAAGTTAAATACACAATGGATAAGCATTGATCAATGGAAAACAAACAATTTGTCCTCTAGGCTCATGGTTTCTTTTTCAAAAATCAACCCTTATCCATTGTATCTATAATACATAACATATCGATTAACTTAATTGGCGAAACGTATGTAGTTATTGTTCAGGAGAACGTGTATATCTTTAATCCTATTATCATACTTCTAGTAATTATATTTCGCATATATATCTTTTTCATTACAGAACAAAGTTTTAACTGTGTTCCAACAAATAAACATGCATTTAGATTTGATTAAATACATTTTTGCTTGATGATATTGTTTGGAAGTGTAGTGTAGTGAGTCAAAAGGTCTTCAACTATTTTTTCTATGCTTTGTTACAAGGTTAAATATCAAGCTCAGTGATGATAATCCGTAAACTTGTTCAAAAGGCAGAAAGATAAGTTGTTGAACATTAACTAGAATCAGATCTAAAACGATATTCTACTTGTTTTTGTGTCATTTTGGTAGTCAACTAACGTATTAAAATCCGATCTTTCATTGTGCTCCACAAGGTTAGTTTTTCCAGTCGGGTAAGAGATTCAGTTATCAAAAAGATGTCATATTCAGTTATCTTTTAGTTTCCATACAAAAGTTTCGGTATCCGTATTACGGAAAATAAAAACATTATTGAGTAAACTTAAATATTTCCAAAAATATTTTCCGGAGTTCCCTGACGTCGATTCGATATTTATTAACTGATTTCCGTTGTTTTATTCATTTAAATTTATTAAGTCAAAAACACATTTGATGAATACAAAGGTAAAAGTATCAGTTTATGATTGGAGGGATGGAAAACTTGTATTCAAATTTCTTAGGTTTTTTTGTCACTCGAATGATTGGATAATTAAATATTTGCATAAACGGCGCAACTAACAAGCCTGGTGAAACAAAGTGAAAGATATAATTAAGTTCAGGATAAATGGTCGGAGGAGACCTTAAGCTAAGATGTGATATGATAACCCTCATAATTGTCTTTTCATGTTTATATTTTGATTTTAAGAACTAGTTACATCTGTATGATTATATGGTTTCAGTTCACGGTATGTTATTACTTATACAACTCAAGATGCTATCAAGCTTAATTATGCTATGCAATTCAAAATAAAGTTACATTTATGTCATATACTTGTCCGAGTCGGATATTACTGACACGAGGTGTTTGTAGAATAACTTCACCTCCCAATGTATACTTATAAAGGCGACAGTAGCTTATATGTTCAAATCTCAAAAATCGATTAAGAAGAGAATCAGTGTAACAAACAGAAAGTTGGGGAATCATGCAAATATACACTCAGTTAAAACATTACAATCGGGAAGATGACAAAGTCGGTAAAATTACAGATTAGACGAGTATTCTGTTATCTAAGGACTTGTAAAACATGTTGAATATACACGTACCTATAATTACGATCTTAAGGCAGCTCATAAATTGCGGTTATATTAGAAATTACCCTGAGTTTTAGGCTACGAATAATTTACTTTACATTCTTTTCAGAAAAAAAGAAGTGACTTGTTAATTTAGTTTTCAGTAAATAGAGATTTGACTTGGTTTTTTTTATGTTATAAATAACTGTTCAGCTTTGTTATTTTAGAAACATGTTTGCAAGTGTATTCATAAGACTGATTTGAAGTCAGATTTAGAGAAGCTTCCAGTATGCATTAACCCAATTTCAACAAATACAGGAAATGTTGATGAAGTTTATTCAATGTCACATTCATCACTTCCAATCTTCAAATTTGAAACAGGTATGCCATGGCAGATTATTTTTAAAATCTACTCGCTTGCAATTATATTTGATTGAAACACAGATTACAATTACCTTGTTTTTTTATGCCTTTTGGAAATACGTATCGGTGCATCGTTAGATTAAAGACATACCTTTGTACATTTTCTGGGACAATGGTGTAACAGCACACCATAAGAATAACGTGTAAAAATAAATTGCCATTGGTTTGAATCAAAAGATCGGTACGAGGCACAAAACAAGTAACATAAACACATTAGACACAAAGCATCGATATAAGATCTGAAAGCTAGTTCAAAGTCAATTATAACTAATAAACGAATTATGTTATCCCAAACTACAGTGTGTATTATAAGCGTTGACAAATAAATGTTTTTAAAAAAAACCAATGAAATCCAAAATTAACATATTACACGAAATAGAATGTTTAATTTTTTTTTTTACATCAAATTATTTACTCAAAATTCACTCAGGTTACCTGCCATAGTTTTCTTCAATCATTGGTTGATCTTTTTGTTATTCTAAATTTTTAAGATAAATGACGAGTTACTTAGTGCTAACATATGTTGATGACAACAGTATGTGAACAGACGCTGTTTTACCTACCTTTTTTATTTGAACATTTTTCTTGCGTTACTTTGGCATATTTGTATGTAAAATACACTTTACTGACATTTGTTAAAGTAGTTTATTTTTACAAAAAAAGTTTTCAACATGCAAGCTCACCAAAAATGTACCATTGTCACAAAACAGTTTTCTCTCGTTCGTGTATTCAGCTACGCATATTACTTGTTTATTCCAATTCAAACATAATTTGTTCGGTATCCTAAATTTGTCACATTCTTCTGGATGTACTAGGTGAAAAGCTAATTTAATTTCCATTCATTTTCTCTGAAGATCACTGCAAAGTTTGAGTGTTTGGTTTTGGCTGTCATATATTGTTTATCTTTTCGTACAATGTATTTACAACGAATGCAATTGCTACGTTTATACAGATGTATGCCATGATGCTACATTAATATATTGCATATACCTTAGAATTTAGGTATAAATCTATACAAAAGGACAATAAAGACGCCCGTAATCATCACTGCCTCGCCATAAAAAATGGTATTTTCACAACCGCTGATTGCAGTTTAAAAATGACGGCTGTTTGTACAGGAGGTTAGTATTTTAATATGAGTCTATGTGTACAAATTATTTTTTTCGCCAGAATAGTTTTAAAATTAACAAACGTTCCGTCTATAATGCATTTAGTTGATCGACTATCGCGGGTTGACTGTTTTTTTTTTAAATGTCTACGTTTCTTTCTCATGACCTCACAATTTTCAAAACAATTCTTCAGTCAGGTTTTTACATGTAACCTCGCACTATTGCATTTGATTCTTATTCAGTATTGATGACCCCTTTGATTGGTGTCAGAATCCTTTCAGTTACTATTTCTATTATTATACGCCCTTTTATTGTTTTAATTTCATTTATAATCATTTAAAAACCAATGTTCATGGAATAAACAATAGTTTGTCGTGGTGGTTTGTAACTATCCAATGCTGTAGTAATAAATAGAGATTTTGTAATGATATGGTAATCATCACATCTTTCAAAGTAATCAATTAAAAAATAATGATCACGTCTTTGTAATACAGTGGCGGAAGATACAAAGGCGACATTTAAAAAACTCATAAGAAATTGACATCGCAATTATTATCATGGTATATGCGCTGGGATACATGATACACTGTACTTTGTCGTTTATCTACCTTGAATTTACAAGAAGCTTTAAAATTAATTGTAATTCAAATAACATAATATTGTAGGTGACAGTCGTTTCGGGACATGGATTTTTACTATTCACAGCTGTTTACTAAAGAACGAATCTGTTTCGAACAACCAGAGCGCATTCCGAGAAACATGGCTAGGCTACTTCATGTATGAAGAAGGTAACATACTTACTGCATATATCATTACATTATAATATGAAGCCATTAATTAATGCAGATCAACATATTACGTATACCATTATCAATATATTTTAATTTGTCGAAAAGAATCAGGTATTACACTAATTTCTGCAACTGCTAGAGTGTTGACTTAATCACCTAATTTTTGTGCTGGAGACGTTGAGAATTCTCTCTTTGTAAACATGTTGAATGAAATTATATAAATAGTATTCAGTTTTAATTTGTTCTGTTCAATAATGCAAAGTTGCTGATCATGTTGGTAATAATAGAAACTTAAATGCACTGGGATTATGTAAGTTACATAATTCTTCGTCTGAAATTTAGTCAAACAATGTTTAGATTTGCATCAGCAGGTTTCAATCTATGATTCTGTGAAATCGTGTCAGCTTCCTAGATCACTGGGCCAACAAGGCTAGGTATTGTTTATGGAGTCTGTAAATTAAGATACCACCCAAATAAACTAGCAGATCCCCTTAAAAAAATACATGATTTTCTGTTATTGTCAGACTCACCTTACTTTTGTGATCCTTTAAAATAATAGCCATCAGTATCAATCATGCCAATCAAAAATGTTGGCTTACAATTCAGTACAAGTTGTCGTTGCCTTCCATTCTAATTTCGAGACCATGAATCAAATAAAGAGATACTGTTAGCACTCAGTTTAGAACTCGTATCAGATATTTGTAATACTTACTTTTAATTTATTCAATTAATCGTAAATTCAATTAAAAAAAGACTTATCAAGGTAAAAACAAATTAGGAAATACATCTGCATGAACTGTAAAAGGAGCTGGATCGGGTGCGTCGACAGGGTAACCGTCTCCTACATGCATGCATCTCCCTCCATGCGAATCCACACTCAATCAAAATGTCACAATCGTGAATAAGACACAATCGGAAAATTAACAGATAAGATGATAATACTGGTACCTAAATATCTACATGTATGACCGCGAAAACATATTACTAATGATTTGTAATATCGCTCAACAAATTTGTGATGGTAACGTAAAACTAATGTAGTGTCGAATTCAGTCATTCTGTGTCATAAATCTGTTTGAGCTGTTTTTGCGTAAGAAGCACACCCTTAAATAGTGTGAACATGCACGAGCGTAACGTATTAAATTAGATATTAAACGCCATACAACGGAGCAGAATGGTATGTTACTGCTAAATAATGGGAAGATGATAATTAAGAATTTGAAATCATCACTTTGTCATGGATTCAACTTTGAAGTCGTCCGTTGTGTCAATATTGAGGAAAAGATCAAGATAATAATCAGACTTTGGACTTTCAATAGTATCCTTAATATCCAGTTAACTGGGGTATATGATGTAAGCCGTCATTCAAATGTCGGTAATTGAGTGAAATGATATCATCAATCTGTCTGAAAGTGAAACAAATGAACTTTGAAAGAATTGGGTTTTTTAATTTTGTCTTTTAGATTCTTCTGTATACATTCTGTTTTAAATGCATAAGAACAAAACAAATAGGCAAGTAGTGCTGCACAATTAGTACCAACTGGAATACCGACTGTCTACTGAAATATCAATCCACCAAACTCAACAAATACATTGTCCATCAAGAATTAAAGCATTTTAATGATATCATATTCGGTGTATTTATTATGGGACTGAGTATGGGTCTTTCCAAAGTAAGATTTTTCATGACCCAAAATCAAATAAAAATATTTCATTTTTATCACAATGGAATCGAACTAACGATTTTGCCGTTGCCGTTTCATTTAAAAACCGAAAAACTATCATTTTGCAAATCAATATAGTATTGTTGCACCATGATTGTTAGATAGGAAACTTTTACGTTTTAGTTCATGATTATGTTTTAGAGATAAATTTACATAATTATAGATTAATTATTGAGTAATGATTAAAGATCTGTTTTATCAGGAACTATGTAGTATTAATGTCTTGTTTTCACTTTTAGACAAAGCAAATCAAAGGTGTGCTGCAATTCTAAGAAACAATTTTACTCAGTCATTGACCTACCAGTTGAGAAACTGTTCTGATCACTTGGCTGTTTTGTGTAAAGACGAAAACAACATAAGTAAGTCAACATGTATACAATTTATATTATAAATTTCTACGAGTAAAAGTTCACAGAAGATTTCAAGAGGAAATATTTGCTACTATTGTTACCATTATTTGACAAGGCATGAATTAATTTTCACTGTCTGATAGTCAGACCTCTTTTTGTATCTGGGTCATTCCAGTCGTTGTTGTGTAAAAAGCTTTGTTGAATTTAAATGTTCAAAATGCTGGATAGGTTTTACATCAAGTGGCAATTTTGTAAAAAAGGTGTAACTTTTATTTTATTTCTACAACTTTTAATTTAAACAAAACATACCTATCCAACGTATAATTTGATTGAATAGAAAGTAAACTTTCCACAGTTGGTGTGCATAATATGTATATTTGCATATGATATTTTGTTGAACATTTTTTTGTGTTAAAAATTACAAATTTTGAGAAATATCGTTTTGAGTTACGATTTCAATGAAAACTGATATATTAGTATGCAAGTTTAATATGCCATCCAAATTGACCCTAGTGTCAAATATCTGTCGATAAACATTTGCAGTTAAAACATAGTTTTTGTTAAAAAGTTACATTTGGTGTAACATTTGTTTTGTTCTACGATTTTACTGAAATTATAATACCGATTCCAAATTGTTTTTTCTTGAATTTGAAAAACAAATTGTGAAAAAAACTTTTGAAAATACATTTTTATGTGCTAGATTTGCAACGGAAATTGATATTTAAGCATAATATCCTATTCCAAATTGATTCCAGTGTCAATTTTGTAGTAAAAACTAGGTATTTGTTAAAAAAAATGACACCAATTTTGAGGGTACAAAAGGTTTTAACGAAATTAAAAATTGCCAGTATAATAACATCTTTTTGAAATTGATTCCCAGTGACAATAGAATTGAGAATGGAAACGAGGAATGTGTCAAAGAGACAACAACCTGACCAAGAGCAGAAAACAGCCCAAGGCCAAAATGAGAAAAAAATGTAGTAAACAGTTTGCGTATTTTTTAATTTTTGTAATGTTTATTTTATCTGTAAAAATCCAAACATTGAAATACATAGATTTAAACATAATCTGAAATATAAATATTAAAATTGTATATATGCTTCTTATATATATATATATATATATGGAAATTATACACATGATCACACTCATCTTTTATTACTCTTTTAGGTTGCACTTTGTAAATACAGCTGTTTCAAAAACCACGCCTCTTTTGGGGAGATATATAATATTCATAGATATTTTGTTTTGTTTACCTACTGGTTCCCAGATATGATGTCTATGTTTCTCTTCGTAGAGACATAACTTGGGAATGTTATCAGTATAAAAAAACATGAATAGCGTCCAAATTGAAATATATGGAAGACCCAAAGTGAAGGGAGGGGTAGTACAGAATTTTAGTATAAGTTTAAACTCTAAGAAGTTCGGGGCATATACATGTTGAAAATATGCCGCACAGCCCTATGTTTTGACCTTTGAAAAAATAGTAGTGCATATATATAATATATATATGAGATTTCCATTTTAGGATATATTTTTTTACGAAACTTCCTAGTAAAAGTGGTACAGTTTTAGCCGTAAAGGGAGTTCCTATGGGAAATTGCATTGTCTATATTTACAGGATTGCAACCTTAATTATCACCGATAGCAATGTGATGATGCAAACTAACCACTGTCCAATTGATATTGATATGCATCAACATCTTATCAATTTTGAATAAATTATTGCAATGCCTTAAATGATTACAAAAAGAGATATTTTCCCCTACATATAAACTATATTTTAATAATGTTCAATGTGGTAAAAACTTATTTTTTGTTGAAGAATTTAAAATTTTGAGAAACATGATTTTTGCTAGGATTGCAATTATAATTGATATATAGGTACAATGACATGCTGTTCCAAATGTATTCTCGGTGTTGAATTTGCAGTGAAAAAAAATGATTTTTGTTACAAAACAAACCACAAATTTTGAAAATCATCTTGTTGTGCTAGGATTCGAAATCAAATTGATTTGAAGGTATTAAATGCTGTTCCCTATGTCAAAAATTATCCGTCTACTACCATTTTTGAAATGTCTGTCACAATATATTTAAAAAAAAACATAGTCAGTTAGGATTTTAACGAAACTTGATATTAACTGAGAAAATATCCTGATTTTTTTTCTAGTTTAAGAAAACTTAATTGAAACCCTATTTAATGTATTTCTTTGTTTGTATCAAAATTAATTATTTGTTACTGTGCCTATTGCAAATGTGCAAGCGGGATCTTTTCTTACATGACGAGTTCTCTAGTTAATTTACAAATATTTTACGCTCGTACATGTTCACACTATCCGAACTTCTTTCACAAGGGCTGTGCTCCTTACACAAAAACTGTTCCAACAGAGTTATTAGAAATAACGACAGAAATCGACACTGCTTACGTTTAGCGGTCACCATCACAAATTGGTTGACCGATACGATGTGTCGGTGTCTTAACCCATAAGCTACATGCTTTCGTGGTGTTAGATCTTTAGATACCATTATATTAGTCAGATCTGTAATTTAACTGATTGTGTCATAATCTCTGATTATGTCCTATTCCTCATTATGATATTTTGACTAAGTGTGAATTCGCATGGCGGGTGATACATGCCTAGCAGAAGATGCTTATCCTGTCGACGCACCCGGTAGGCATCTTTTTGAAGTGTATGCGATGTCTTTGGTTTCTTTTTCTTAGCTTGATTTGTGTATATATTTGTTTATTTCTTATATAGAAATTAGGTGATATGGTATGATCGTAAATGAGACAACTAATCAGAGTTCAAATGTTGTTCTCTAATTGTGAAACTGTTTGGATTTATCCTTAAAAAATGTCATTTGATGTGCGATTTTTTAATGTGAAAACATATTCTTTTCGTGAAATTAATTGGGACAAAGCAGCTAACAATGTGGTGGTGGTATAACGTAAATACAACTCGGAACTTCTTGAGAATGAAGTTATAAATTCTTATATATTTAGGTCCGTGTGCTCGACAGAGATTCATATAGTAAACAATCATATCATTATCATATCTGATCAGCTAAAGGCCTCTTCTGAACATCTGAAGGTCCTTACCTCAACAACTAAAACAAAATCTGTAAACTATCGATTCATCTTGGCCTCTAGTAAGTGTTCTACAACTTTTCTTTCTGTGCTTTTAACTAGTTCCTTAACTACAACGGTTACCATAGAAATTATCATTAACTTCTGTAATAACGCATGTGAAAATAGTGTTTGTATTTTTATATTGTTTACATGTAAAAGTTGTTTAAACTTGATGATAATGTAAAGCTTATTTTAATTTCTATTCTGATATGGGGCATGTAAAAGTTTATTGTTAATTTAAACTTCGTGCATTTTTACCACCTTTTGTGCCATTGATTTATTTATCGGTAAAATGTACTTGCACAACCAAGTGAAAATTTTCCTTTCTAATGTATAAGTGATGTACAGAGCCCGTAGAAGAAAATGATACTCGTTACATTCCATTCAATAAAAAACTGGATAAATGATTCTCGGCTTTACATTAATTACAGTATCTTCTTGAAAATGCATAAAAAAACTTAAAACTATTTTAAAAAAGGTGGTTTCCATAGAACACAATGTCGCGTCACACTTAATCATTTCCATGTTAAGTATTCCGCAGAAAAATAAACACAATCATAGTTTTTCCATATATTTGAACATTTGTACTGACTTTTATATTTATATTGCCCTAATTTCATGGTTTACTTCATAAACCTAAATCTGTAACCTGATACATACCTATGTTAATTGAACCACGAAATTTAGGTCGAACCTAAATTTGACAAATATTTCAAGACTTCATGTCATTATGAAATGTGTATTAAATGTCAAGTTGATATGATCTCACAAACGGACGGACGATCAACAAACTGGGAACCTGGTACAGGATATGCGCTCTGAATCTATTTAGGCGCAGCTTGTCGTAATCTAAAATCGTTTGGTGTTGACACGATATCGATTGTTTAAACAGCTTTTTTTTTGTCTGGACTGGTTAAATGTTGCTTTTGTTGGATCGAACCAGTTCTTAGCAGGAAGGAAAGACTAAGGTAACCATCTTTCAACACTCAATCCATCGTTAGTTTCTACCTGCATAACAAAAAAAAAATAAAATACCACACAGAAACCTTCTACTTGTAAACAATTCGAGTTCTTAGATTGATGTAATGCTAATAATTAATTTAGTTTTCTTTTATATTTATTTCGTAGGTCCTTTTAGCACGTCAACAACTTTGAATAATGGTAGCCTGTTTTCTTCAAATTCAACAAATACTTCTACAAACATTTTTAATGTACAAGATCCAGGCAAAAAGAATCAAACACTCGGTATGATAATTTAAATCTGTCAGATATTGGACACACCAGCAAACTGTATAGCCCTTCAACAAAGTGATAAATGTAATATTGGTAAATGCATCAGGAAAAAACATTATTCTGTATTTTTAGCACGTTTTCCCACAAAATTACCGCTTATCAATTTTAGGTAGTGCGGAGAGCATGCTAGCTGGCGGGATGGCTGGTTTGTGTGAAACTGTTTCCGTTCGTAAACTTGATTACCATTGAACCAATCTCAAATTTAAAAAATGCTTGTGCTCATAACAAAATTGATATCAGTTCAACATTGATAACTTCAGAGGTTGGTTGATTGACAAATGATTGTTATGTCGTTTCAATTGTTAATTTGAGATCTTTTCAACCAATAGATGTATTTAACCATTTTGGAGGTTTAACTGAATTGTCTCCGAATGACCCAATATTTGTCTCCGAATATTTTTCTGATGTCACGCAACCATAACTTTTTCAATTATATATGATATCAAATGTTTTAAATTAGGATGCCATATTTTGCTGGGCCTTAGGTGGTTTTAAATAATGGCATACAAGTGTAAATACATCTATTCTTTTCTAATTTTTTTCTCAACTATTTTGTCTTATGACAGGTTTGTGGTCAATTTTGTTTGGTTTTCACTTTTAGTATGCTGTTAAAGTGTTATAATCCTTGATTACCTTAACAAAGTTGTGTCTATGTAGTTAATTGACAATTTGCCTTTTACATGTACGTATACACTTACTAATACTGAATAAAAATGTCCGTTAACTCAAAGTTCCATATGTTTTTCTTCTCTGTGGGAAATCTACGGAACAAAAACAAAAGAAAATTCACTCTTCTTATGATAGAGTCCAGAAAGTCAATAATAAAACAATGCCGGCGACGATACTGATCAAAAGTTATTTCAAAATAATAGTACATTTTAAAGAAATTATTTGTTGAAAAGGGTTATTAGAAATATACATGCAAATACACGACGTTTTATGTTTAGTATGTATGGAGATAATTGCATTAGAAGCTTGTGAAACTGAAATCTAAGAAATGATAATTTTTTGCTGCATATTGATAAAAAAAAATGGAAAAAATCAAGTCCATACAAAATCTAAAGATCTTTCGAATCCGGTCACTAATTTTTGGAGTGTTCCCCCAAAGTCTTAGCAGGTTACATTTTTCCAAAATATATTTATTTTTCACATCCAAGTTTTCGAATACACCGATCTGCTCTTCACATGTACATTCAATATAGAAATATTGTCTTTTCGTGAACATAACAATTTAAAAGTCTGTTTGTGCAGGTTAAAACGTTAAAAAAAACTGTTCTAAAAAAGTAGGTATCTTTCTACTATTTCATGCAATTTTGAGAAAAGGTCGTCTCGATTTTTGTATATGTATTTGCGGTCTTGTCGATCAATTCACATTTAATGTTTACATCGGGATAAGGTTCGTTTGAATTTGCTTAGTAACTTAATTTCAAATTAAAGTGTTTAGTCTCTGCTGCATATCAATCGATTCCTTTGGATTTTTTCCCCTGATTTTCTCTGATCTAGCTGAATAAATATAAAGAATAATTAGCATGTTCCAGTGAGGTATACAGCCAGAAGAAACATAAATTGCATTTGATACTCCAGGAATTTATTCGCATAGCAACATTTAAAACCAATTTTACATCAAGCTTCTATAGCCTGCTGTACTCGTCGATTGCTATTTAAGAGGGAAATGATACATTTAATGGAAGTTTTGTTCTTATTTCAACTTTTTTCTATTTTCACTATTTACTAGAACGTTTTTCCGTGAATTCATAATTGATAGCGTCCTTTCTAAAACGGGACAAACATTGAGAAGATCTAGTTTTCAGTGTTTACAGGGGAGATAATATTTTGTCACTAGATTTCCCACTGTTCTGGCGTATATGTAATATACTTATGAGAAACAAAATCATATACAACATGTACAATTTAAATGCATTAACACACTCACACTTAATAATATATAAAACTAGTTGTACGTAAAATAAAAATATACATATCTGTTTTTAAATTGTAGGAGAAATCGTCATTGTGAATGTTGTACTGTTTTGTTTGATCATTCTATTTGTCGTTATGATTATCTTAAGGTAATACATGTATGGACCTCTATTGTGTACATATCATACAAGTAAAATAAAATATAGTATATTATTAGGTTAATATAGAAATTATTATAAAAGCACACAGAATGATGTAGGCATTGTACAGTAATATCTTTATCATAAACTATTTATGACATAGCTGCTCATGATTTACTACAAAACTAGAACTGTTAGTTTACGGTCGGACTTAACGATTTTTGTTTTGTTTTGTTTTAATTGTTTAATATACAATAAAGAGATAAAGGATAACTGTCACTAAAACAACAGTCTAAAAAGTCAAAAGAACATATTATAATCATGTGAATATCACTATACAACCTTCACGAATGGACCAATGCCATTAAAATTTAGTGCTAATATTTTTTAACCGCAGTACTGTACTAAGAATTATTTATTATCTATATTTTGATGTCTACGTTTGAACTTCCGTTTGATAATAAATGTTGTTTAAGCTTAGTGGCAGTCATAACTTATGATTCGCAAACTTTTTAATGTGGCAAAAAAAAGAAGTTTGTTTAGATTCAAACGGTCATTGTTTTCCTTTCAGGACTAAAAACCGGATTATCATGATTATTTTTAACAAGTGAATTGTTGTTATAACATTTCGTGAAAACCTTTTGGAAATCAAATTCTAATAAGGGAATTCTTGCTTATTACGGTTTGATTTTATATGCTTAATGTGGATTAAATGGCTTTATTTTTTTTTTTAATTATTAATTATCAAAATATTTCTTTTAAACAGTTGCAGTTATTGTTAAAAATGTTTATTTTTTGTGTTCCTTCAGTCTTAAAGATGT